AATTAGAATTCAAACATGTTTCCGTTTTTATTTCCTATTAATTAGGATTGATTATGATTGATTAGGATTGATTATGATTGATTAGGATTAATTGTGATTGATTAGAATTGATTGTGATTAGGATTGTGATAGGATTGATTAGTCATCGCTTAGTCATTCTTAGCGATTCTTTCTTGTATAAATACTCACTCATGTAATTTATTCAATATCAATATACAAAAACTTCTTTTCAATAGGTTCAAAAGTGAACGTTAAGTAAACTTTGTACACCAAGGCACTGTTTTCTACTATGGGTGTTTCTGTGTTTAATCTTTTCCTATTTCTGTTTGATTACTTTTGTTGGATTGGAAATGGTTGGTCTAATGAAAAGCTAGTGAATCTTATGAGTTTAGCTGTTGGTGCAGTTTCTTGGGGAGCAGTTTGTGTTTACATGCATAGTGGATTCATCAGTTCAGGTGAACGAAGGTTTCCATTGTTCTTCAGAGTTTGGTGTGGCTTCTACTTTTCTTTTTCCTGTTATTGCTTCACAGTTGACATGATTCTCTATGGGCAACGGGTTCTATCACCAATTCAGTACTTGGTTTCTGATTTGGTATCTGTTTTTGTGGGTTTGTTATTTTGTTACATTGGGATATTTGTCCAAAATGATTGTGAAGATAACATACTTGATGAACCTCTTCTAGATGGTAACTCAATTGTTAGTAACTTGTCAACTAAAGGGTCTGAAACTGTTACCCCTTACTCAACTGCTGGAATTTTCAGCATTCTTACCTTCTCATGGATGGGTCCTTTATTTGCTGTTGTAAATAAGAAAACCTTAGGCCTTGAGGATGTTCATCAACTCACTAGCATTGATAGTGTATTTGGTGTTTTTCAAACTTTTAGGAATAAGCTAGAGTTAGATTGTATTAGCAGAGTAACCACACACTTAAGCTGATGAAGTTGTTGATTTTCTCATCTTGGAAAGAGATTCTGTTGACAATTATTTTGGCATCAATGTACACTCTGGCTTCTTATGTTGGTCTATATCTTATTGACACTTTTGTTCAATACCTTAATGGAGAAAGAAAATTCAAGCATGAGGGCTATCTTTTAGTGTCTTTGTTTTTTGTTGCAAGGTTGTAGAGTGTCTTTCACAGAGGCACTCATTCTTTAGGTTTTACCGAGTAGGAATTAAGATCCGAGCATTACTGGTGACAATCATCTATAACAAAGGCTTGACCCTTCCATGTCAATCAAAGCAGGGTCACACTGCTGGTGAATTAATCAATTTGATGGCTGTGGATACCGAAAGAGTTGGTGACTTCAGTTGGCACATGATTGAAGTGTGGATGGTGCTTCTGCATGTTACATTGGCCTTGTTAATTTTGTATAAAAATCTTGGGCTTGCTTCTATTTCTGCTCTTGTTGCAACTTTTGTTGTGATGTTGGTAAATATTCCCTTTGGATCATTGCAAGCCAAGTTGATGGAATCAAAAGATAGAAAAATGAAGTCCACATCTGAGATTTTAAGGAGCATGGGGATTCTCAAACTACAAGGATGGGAGATGAATTTTCTGTCCAAAATTATTGAATTGAGGAAAAGTGAGGAGGGGTGGTTGAAAAAATATTTATATAATTCAGCTATGACTTCATTTTTCTTCTGGGTTACCCCCATGTTTGTATCTGTGGTTACTTTTGGTACTTGTATACTTATAGGGATACCACTTACATCAGGGAAGATCTTATTTGCACGTGCTATGTTCCAAATCCTTCAAGAGTCCATCTACAATCTTCCTGAAATAATTTCAATGCTAGCACAAATAAAGGTTTCCCTTGACAGGATTGCATTTCTTCGCCTTGATGACTTGCAGTCTGATGTTATAGAGAAACTTCCTAGAGGTAGTTCTGGTAAAGCAATCAAAGTGATTGATGGAAATTTTGCCTGGGATTTATGCTCCCATAATACAGTACTGAAAAACATAAACTTTACAGTTTTACATGGCATGAGGGTTGCAATTTGTGGGGCTGTTGGCTCAGGTAAATCTAGTTTACTTTCTTGTATAATGGGAGAAGTACCAAAGGTATCAAGTATTCTAAAGGTATGTGAAACCAAGGCCTATATTGCTCAGTCACCATGGATACAAAGTGGAAACAAAGAAGATAATATACTATTTGGTAAGGATATGGATAGGAAAATGTATGACAAGGTCCTTGAATCATGCTCCTTAAAGAAGAACCTGGAAACTCTACCATTTGGTGATCAAACAATTATAGGAGAGAGGGGAATCAATTTGAGTGGAGGACAGAAACAAAGAATTCAGATTGCACGTGCTCTTTACCAAGATGCTGCTATATATCTGTTTGATGACCCCTTTAGTGCCGTGGATGCTCATACTGGATCTCACCTCTTTACGGTAATTCATTTAGTGTTGTAAATATTAGGTCTTTTATTATTATTAGTATTTGTTGTATTGGGCCAAGCCCATTAGGTCAAGAATTAGGGTTTTTGGTCTCTATAAATAGAGACCTCTTTGTATCATATTAATTCACAATTCAATAATATTTCAAATACCCTTTTCTTTCAAGTTGGTATCAGAGCTCTCGATCCAGAGGGCTCTGCTTCCGCGCCTACGAAACCTTTCTATTCTTTTTTACGTCTCTCGCTGCCATCAGCCGCCACCGGAAATTTTTTTCCGGGGACCTCTTGGACCGAGAAGACCATTGCTTCACTGTTCCTCTTTCTTTTTCTTGTCTATTACACAACCAGAAACAAACGTTCACAGAATCAACGTACAGAACCACCGTACAGAACCTGTTCATCGCGATTGGAACCTTTTTCCGGTGGATTCTTCACTCCGAACAGCCACAGAAACCATCGCGCTCGCCGGACGACCTTCGCCTGAAAAACCCAGCACCATCGGAGGTCAGACGCGCCTCCACGCGCCGCCCTTGTCTCTGCGCGTGAATCCCACGCGCCGCCAGCTTCACCGGCGCGTGACAGCGCGTGACGGTGGTTCTCGGCCGCGGACCACCACGGTTCTGATCGTCTCTCCAAGCCGGTTCTGGATCTGTGCTCTCTACTTTGATCGGACATCGTTTGGTATTTTTTTTCAGAATTTCTTGGCTTCTTGGAGTTTGTTCTTTCACCAATTTCTTGCCTCCGACCAGATCTGACGTTGTTTGGTATTTGTTCCGGTCACTGTGTTACTGTTTCGGCCGCTGTGTTACTGTTCCGGTCAGATCTGACGTTGTTTAGTATTTGTTTGTGATTTTGTGGCTTCTTGGAGCTTTTCTTTGACCATTTGCTGTGCAGTATGGCCTCTTCTCAAAGGAGTTCTTTTTCAAAATTTTATGATGGTACCTCTTCTAGACCTAAGAGAAATGATCGATGGTGTTCTTATTGTAAAAGAACAAGTCATATCAATGATTTATGCTTTCGCCTTTATGGAAAGCAAACTGTCTTAGAAAAGATGGCAAGGATGCGTGGTCAAGCGCATTTTACTTCTTCTGAAATAACCCCTGCACCTAATGAGACCCAATCTGCATTTCGTCCAGATGAGTTGGAACGACTCCGAACCATTTTTGATTATCTGAGTAAGCCATCTGATACTAGTGCTTTGGCTATGACTGGTATGAGCTCCAAAACTCATTCTTTCATTTCTTCATGTAATGATTTTAAACATTCTTGGGTTGTTGATTCTGGTGCTACTGATCATATGGCTTGTTGTGCTGACTCCTTTATTTCTTATCATCCTACCATTGGAACTCATACAATATCCATAGCTGATGGCTCACATACATCAGTTGCGGGTTCTGGTGACATAAACTGTAACACCCCGTTCTAGAACCGGTTTGTTAACATCGCATTATGATATTAAGCGCAGTTACAATCACATGGGTTCAATTAAAATCCGGATAAATTTTTCATTTTAAAACGTACCGAACTTATAATACCCAATTTCGTGATCGTAACCATGTTACCTTGCGGAAACAGATAAATTAAGCTTAACATCATGTTCATTTTCCATTTTTAAATCATTAATTTACTTCTTATTTAGTTCACATCTTCTACTATATTGTAGGTTCCTTCATTAGCTACCCGTGGCTTCAAACCGTGCTCAAATCGGAGCACTGTAGCCCAAGTTAGGACCATTTGAAGCAACACAAGAGAGTGTTGGTCACAGGCCCAGCGCGCTTCAGCGCGCTACCGGGCGCTCAAGCGCGCGCTATCGGGCGCTAAAGCCTCCATCCGGGCGCTTAAGCGCACGGAGGCAGTAAGCATCAGGCATTCTAGTGTGGATGGGCGCTTAAGCGCGCAACAGGGCGCTCAGGCGCGCTATCCTGGGCGCTCAAGCTCCCACGGGGACGTTTTAGCGCGCAGAGACAGAGGCATCTCCTCCTTCAGTGGCGAAGGGCGCTTAAGCGCGGACCAGGGCGCTCAAGCGCGCAACCCTGGGCGCTTAAGCCCCACCCTGGGCGCTAAAACACGAGGGGGCAGTAAGCCACCCAACTTTCTGCAGCAAGGGGCGCTTAAGCGCACGCCAGGGCGCTCCAGCGCGCAATCCTGGGCGCTTCAGCCCCCACTTGGGCGCTCCAGCGCGAGGAGGCAGAATGCATTGGCACTCGCAGGGGCAGCAGGGCGCTTGGGCGCGCTCCTGGGCGCTTAAGCGCGCTGCCAGGGAATTCCAATTCCCACATTTCCCAAGTCCAAGCCTAGGGGAAAATGCATCCCCATTACAAACCCCAATTGTCCATGCCCCAAAACTAAATCCTAGCACTCATCCGACCTCTCCTCATGAGATTTAGCTAGAATTTGGGCAGCATGACCTTTGTTTTCTCATCGTTTACCAGTTTAAACAAAAGGGTACCTAATTGATTTTCAGCCCAACCAATTCAACAACTCAATACATAACAAGCATGCATATATTGAATTTCAAGTAGGCATCATTTACATTACATATCATTTACCAATCATAGAACTTAGCTTACAAAACACTATGATCATTCCCTTGGCTCCCATCAACAAAAGGTGTAACCAAAGGCATGAGCATAGGCTAAGTTCATCCAATGAATCAAGATATACAAATGACCATGGGCTTTCAAAATAAAATCCTATACATGTCAACTACAAAAGGCATGCATAAACTCAAAGAAATGCCATATTTCATGCATAATCCAGATATGGCCACTTGCCACCAGAGGCTCCTGCAGCATCCTTACCTGAAAGGGGGTCCCCACAACACGGGGTGAGATATACGAATATATCCAGTAAACCAGGGGTCCTTGGAGCATCTCTCCACCCCACAGTTCCATATCAGTGTAATAGCAATAACAATAATAATGCAGTAAATACATATCTATGCAAAGTGCACTACATCTCCAGGAGAAATCCCTCGAGCTCTCAAGCTGTCCTAAGGAAACTCAGATGCAAATAGTCCTACTGGCCAGCTAACTACCAAGTATGATTTACGCATCGTCATGCAACATACCACATAGGGAAACACCATCCTATGCCACACCAAATGCATACACATATGTATAACAAAGCATTACACTATTTTATTGCATTTATATACACAATCACAACCTCTACCCTTTCAGGGCTTGGTAGAACAGTCAAGGGAATTACACCCAAGGTCCGAAGGCTTACCTCAATGCTTCAGTCGACCTTTGTTCTTCACCAATGTCAACAATACTCTACTCCAAAACCAACACCTACACATGGTGTAATGCAATCAACACATTGCATCCAAGAGTATTTCACAATCAACCATCAAATGTTCAATTCAAAACACCACACAAGTGTGAGCTTACCAATTCCAATGAGCTACTCAAGCTCCATAGCTTGTTCAAGCGGTTGATCACTCACGGTCGGTCCAAATGTCTCAATCCTAGACATCATTAGGACACAATCATCAATCAACCAAGCCATACCATTTATCAACAATGCAAGAAATCCAATATCAAGCATCATATTCTTGCCATTTTACAAGTATACTCATTTAGCTATCTAAGCTCATTTTCACCGATTAAATGACATTCCTAGCATTTTCCATAACATGCTCTAAGCTCCATTCTTCCTAGAACATAGCTAATTTAACAACATTCATCAAAATCCCTAAAACACTATTCATAAACCCTAACTCATGCAATTTTCAAGGAATCATGAGGTTCAAGGGTTAGAATCTTACCACCAATGGTCACACAACCAAGCAAGGAGTGTTCCTCAAGCTCCCATGGAGGTTGAACTTCCAAAACTCCAAAATCTCTCCAATAGCCGAATTTTTGAGAGGCAATATCCCTCTCCACAATGCTCCCCACTTAAAACAAAGCAAGGATTATGAAAGAGGAGGAGATTTGGAGTGGTTTAGGCTTTTGAACGGATGGATTTGGTTGAGATTTGCTTTCTCTCTCTCTCTTTCCCTTTTCTTCTTCCCTCTCTTCTCCCTCTCTTCTCTTCTCCTCTGTTTTCTGGCGACGGGTTTCAGGGGGAAATGGGGGGTCTTTTGGTAGCTTAAGTCACTTAACATAGGTTAAGTGGCTTTAAGCGGGTATTGGTTCGTCTATCTATTCAACTCCAATATTTACAAAACTTTACCCAAAAGTCTGGAATATTATTCTAGGAATGTTACTATTTTTATTTTTATATTTTGGGTACTTTTGCCAGTACCCATTTATACCCCTTAATTTTCACTGAGTACACTTTTTAACTCCAAAGTGACTCAGAATCATTTAATTTAGCATTATACTTAATTTTACTCACTAAAACATGTTTAATTAATTAATTACACTTGATTTCCTAATTAATTAATATGGGCTATTATAGTCACCCCACCTTTTAGTGATTTTGTCCGCAAAATCAAGAACGTACCTGTCCTTAAACTCAGGATATTGCCGGAGAAGCTCATCTTCCCGCTCCCAAGTGGACTCTTCAGGCGTCCTTCCTTCCCACTGGACTTTCACCATAGGAATAGATTTATTTCTCAGCTTCTTCTCATCTCTTTCGAGTATCTTCAGTGGTCCAATAGGAGTCTTCAAATTCTCCCGGATTTCAACATTATCAGGTTGAACCACATGAGAAGGATCAGCTACATATTTCCTCAGCTGAGAAACATGAAACACATCATGCAAATTTGCTAATTGCGGAGGTAAGGCAAGCTGGTAGGCAACCGGTCCCACCCTACGAAGAATCTGGTAGGGTCCAATAAATCTCGGACTCAGCTTCCTCACTCCAAGGGCTCGTCCCACACCCGTAATTGGTGACAGCTTCAGGAACACATGATCTCCCTCCTCAAACTCTAGAGGTCGATGCTTGAGATCATAGTAACTTTTCTGACGATCCTGAGCCTTTTTCAGACGATCCCTAATCATTTTGATCTGCTCAGTAGTCTCCTGAACAAAATCCAATCCAAACCGCTCTGTGTCTCCAACCTCTGACCAACAAGTAGGTGTCCTACACCTGCGACCATACAAGGCCTCGTAGGGAGCCATACCCAGACTAGCATGGAAACTATTATTATATGAAAACTCAACCAGTGGGAGATATCGATCCCATGCAGTACCCTGCTCCAGGGTGCAAGCCCTCAGCATATCCTCCAACGTCTGAACGGTCCTCTCAGTCTGACCATCCGTCTGTGGGTGATAAGCAGTGCTCAGTCTCAACTGAGTGCCAAGAGCCTCCTGCAATGCTCCCCAGAAGCGAGAAGTGAACTTCGGGTCCCGATCGCTAACAATACTCTCAGGCACCCCATGAAGCCTCACAATCTCCTTCACATAGAGCCTAGCCAATCTCTCCGCAGAGAAGTCTACCCGAACTGGTAAAAAGTGTGCGGATTTTGTCAATCTATCCACAATCACCCATATAGAATCATAACTAGCCTGTGTTCGCGGCAATCCCACTACGAAATCCATGGAGATACTCTCCCATTTCCATTCAGGAACATCCAGAGGTTGCAGCATACCAGAAGGCTTTTGATGCTCAATCTTTACCTTCTGACAAATGAGACACTTAGAGACAAATTCGGCAATATCTTTCTTCATACCAGGCCACCAGAAATTCATCTTTAGGTCCTGATACATCTTTGTAGCTCCCGGATGAACTGTAAAATGACCCTTATGAGCCTCTGTCATCACTTCTTCCGCCAACTGCCTAGGTACAACTACACGACCCTGATATAATAGTATACCCTCATCATTGCAGGATACACCACTCTGACCTTTTAGTCGTCTAGCACTTTCATTTTGCAGCTGGGCTTCTTTGATTCTGGTCATCAGTTCATTCTCAATGCTCGTGATTTCAAAGCCACAAATTTTACATGGAAAGATTTTAGATAATTGAATATCTCTGAACCTCTCTATCACATCATAATCTCTAATCATCATGCTTGATATGCTCACAGATTTACGGCTCAGTGCATCAGCTACAACATTAGCCTTGCCAGGATGATATTTCAATTCAAAATCATAGTCTTTTAGGAACTCGGTCCACCGTCGTTGTCTCATATTCAGCTCCTTTTGATCAAACAAGTATTTCAAACTCTCGTGATCGCTGAATATTGCAAATTGCATTCCATACAAGAAATGCCTCCACTGCTTCAACCCAAAAACAATTGCAGCAAGCTCAAGGTCATGGGTTGGATAATTTTCTTCATGCGGTTTCAATTGCCTCGATGCATAAGCTACCACTCGCCTATCCTGCATCAGCACACATCCCAATCCCTTCTTGGAAGCATCGCTGTATAGCTCAAATTCACCTTCCGGGTCGGGAAGTACTAACACCAGGCTGTACGCCCGTTGCCCCACGGCCACTTCTAGGCCTCACAAGAGCAGCCAAAACAGGTTCTGGCTGAGCATTGGTGTTTGATGGTCCGGGGTTGTTTCGGTTCCTCGTCATGTCACTACACATGTTACACAAAGAAGTGAGTTGATCAGGCCCACACTTAGTGATCACAAATGCAACAACCATACAGAGTACTAAAACAACTATAAAGCACCAAACACTAAGCATACTCAACAATAGCTAACAGTTATTCCCGACGAAACTGCTCTGATACCATAAAATGTAACACCCCGTTCTAGAACCGGTTTGTTAACATCGCATTATGATATTAAGCGCAGTTACAATCACATGGGTTCAATTAAAATCCGGATAAACTTTTCATTTTAAAACGTACCGAACTTATAATACCCAATTTCGTGATCGTAACCATGTTACCTTGCGGAAACAGATAAATTAAGCTTAACATCATGTTCATTTTCCATTTTTAAATCATTAATTTACTTCTTATTTAGTTCACATCTTCTACTATATTGTAGGTTCCTTCATTAGCTACCCGTGGCTTCAAACCGTGCTCAAATCGGAGCACTGTAGCCCAAGTTAGGACCATTTGAAGCAACACAAGAGAGTGTTGGTCACAGGCCCAGCGCGCTTCAGCGCGCTACCGGGCGCTCAAGCGCGCGCTATCGGGCGCTAAAGCCTCCATCCGGGCGCTTAAGCGCACGGAGGCAGTAAGCATCAGGCATTCTAGTGTGGATGGGCGCTTAAGCGCGCAACAGGGCGCTCAGGCGCGCTATCCTGGGCGCTCAAGCTCCCACGGGGACGTTTTAGCGCGCAGAGACAGAGGCATCTCCTCCTTCAGTGGCGAAGGGCGCTTAAGCGCGGACCAGGGCGCTCAAGCGCGCAACCCTGGGCGCTTAAGCCCCACCCTGGGCGCTAAAACACGAGGGGGCAGTAAGCCACCCAACTTTCTGCAGCAAGGGGCGCTTAAGCGCACGCCAGGGCGCTCCAGCGCGCAATCCTGGGCGCTTAAGCCCCCACTTGGGCGCTCCAGCGCGAGGAGGCAGAATGCATTGGCACTCGCAGGGGCAGCAGGGCGCTTGGGCGCGCTCCTGGGCGCTTAAGCGCGCTGCCAGGGAATTCCAATTCCCACATTTCCCAAGTCCAAGCCTAGGGGAAAATGCATCCCCATTACAAACCCCAATTGTCCATGCCCCAAAACTAAATCCTAGCACTCATCCGACCTCTCCTCATGAGATTTAGCTAGAATTTGGGCAGCATGACCTTTGTTTTCTCATCGTTTACCAGTTTAAACAAAAGGGTACCTAATTGATTTTCAGCCCAACCAATTCAACAACTCAATACATAACAAGCATGCATATATTGAATTTCAAGTAGGCATCATTTACATTACATATCATTTACAAATCATAGAACTTAGCTTACAAAACACTATGATCATTCCCTTGGCTCCCATCAACAAAAGGTGTAACCAAAGGCATGAGCATAGGCTAAGTTCATCCAATGAATCAAGATATACAAATGACCATGGGCTTTCAAAATAAAATCCTATACATGTCAACTACAAAAGGCATGCATAAACTCAAAGAAATGCCATATTTCATGCATAATCCAGATATGGCCACTTGCCACCTGAGGCTCCTGCAGCATCCTTATCTGAAAGGGGGTCCCCACAACACGGGGTGAGATATACGAATATATCCAGTAAACCAGGGGTCCTTGGAGCATCTCTCCACCCCACAGTTCCATATCAGTGTAATAGCAATAACAATAATAATGCAGTAAATACATATCTATGCAAAGTGCACTACATCTCCAGGAGAAATCCCTCGAGCTCTCAAGCTGTCCTAAGGAAACTCAGATGCAAATAGTCCTACTGGCCAGCTAACTACCAAGTATGATTTACGCATCGTCATACAACATACCACATAGGGAAACACCATCCTATGCCACACCAAATGCATACACATATGTATAACAAAGCATTACACTATTTTATTGCATTTATATACACAATCACAACCTCTACCCTTTCAGGGCTTGGTAGAACAGTCAAGGGAAT